TCCTGAGTTAATCGGGATTCTTCAGAGGAATTAGAATTTTAAGGGATGTGAAAGAAGGGATCCTTTTGAAGAACAGTTTAAAAAAGACTACTGGAGTCTAGGTAAAAAGTGTGGATGTGGGGAATTCCCTGGCGGTCCAGTGGTTAGGACTCAGTGCTCTCACTGCCGAGGCCTGGGGTTCTGTCCCTGGTCGGGGAACTAAGATCCCACAAGCTGCACGGCAAAGCCAAGAAAAAAAAAAGTGTGGATGTGGGGAGAGTTCTGGGGACTAAAAGCCAGCATGAGAGTAAGAGGGTCGGTGGGGTAAGGGCACAGCAGGAGAGGGGATGAAGGAAACTTGGCCGGGGCTGCTGGACCTGGACCTGGACTCGGCGGGGGGGGGGGGGGGGGGGGGGGGGGGGGTTGCCCAGTGCCTGGATGGTCAGTGTTACGGGGGAAGTTAAATAACTGAAAACATGGCACGGGGAGACAGGCAGTTTTAGGAACTTTAAACAAGTTCATTGAGAAGATATTTTTATTATAAATGAATTTGGGGGAAACAGGCCTTACTGAAGAAAAGCAGAATGCAACTCCTGTCAGGAACGTTTCTGGGTTTATGGTTTGGGACTTCAGTGAGGTGACAGAATGCTCCCTTGAGGAGGTCTGAAGATGCTTCACAGCTTTCCTACACGGTCCACATAAAGATCTACACACACAGATTTATCGCTACGTTAATTAATCCTGAGTCAGGCTTAGAAGCTGCTAGTACTCAAACTCACCACATTGTAGGTTTTGAGGAAATTCTAATATTTGTCACAGACATATTTTCTGGAAGCTCCTTTTCTCTTGGCCTTTTCAAGTTTTTGTGTTCCTTTGTTTTCATCTGTGGAATCTGAGTTTTATTTAAAATTCCAGATGGCTGACTGTCCTTAGTTGAGTGTTTATTCTTTTTTTTTTTTCCACTTTTTTTTTTGAAGTGGCTGTTCTCGACATCAATGCCACATTTTGCTTTTTTAAATGTAGTTTTAAAAATTAATGATATATTATATAGTAAAATGAGCAGCTGTTGTACCTGATTGTAACATGTGAATAATAAACATTCTCACCGTTTGTCTATTCAGCCTAAATATGATTTCTTGCAGTGCAGAAAAATCTCCTTGGAAGCTTTGTCATTGTCATTTTACTTTAAGTTAATGCTTGCCTATTTTAGGTTCCCTGTGATTTTTTATCTCAGCTACCCCTGGTCCCCAGGAAATTTCTAAAGAATTTTTCAAGGCTGATTTTATTTGTATAGATTTTACCTGTATATTTTTAAGGTTCAACCAAAAAGTTGAAATGAAAGTAAGTTTAGCTGTCACCCCAGATATCATCAGGCATTTTTAAAAGGTCTATTATTATGTTTGAAGAGAAGCTAAAGTATCTTATTACAGGAGAAAGCAAAGAGCATTTTTCTGGGTCTCTAGAGATGGCATTTCCTGTCTCTCCTCTGATAGGAGAAAAGAGCTGTGATGACTTCACTCCGTGCCTCCGAAAGAAGTGCTTATTATCTTTTTCTAGAGGACAATTCCTCTTTATTTAGAGCTTGGAGACACACTTTTTAGATCCACACTTGCTATCTGCCCAGCGAAGAAATGTTTGACCATTGTTTGTTAATAAACAACAAACACATCTGGCAAGCTGGTTGGTTTGTTTAACTTTGTGACTGTTACGATAGCTTTTCCGATTAAAGGAGGGAAGATGGAGCTGGTTACAAAGGGCCGCTGCTATTTAGGTCACGGGATGCTCAGAACTGTCAGAAGGGCTTTTGTTCCATCCATTAGTTTCCTAAGGGATCAGGCAGTACAAGGTTGTTTTTGTGTGTTGTAGGCAAATCCATTTTGGAGGAACACATACTAGGCAAGAAAGACTGGAAGGAAAATCAGTGACATCTAGATTTTTTTTTTTTAACTACACGAAATGCAATCACAGGTGTAGTTCTCAGATAATTGTTTCGGTCCCACCGAATTGTGGTGTCATGGGGTGTGTTGTGACAGGAGTCCGTCCTGGCAAAAAGCTCACCAGTAACGTCAAGCAAGGTCCACACCGTGCTTGAAAAATAAATTCATATTTATTTTTGAACCTTGGAATGAAGAAGTGACAAGAGAGTTTACTATGCAGTAGATTTTCAATAAAAATATCCTTCATGCTTCCAAAAACATGACCTTTTTTGGAACGCTATTGTCTTCAGAGAAGATTCCTTTGCTAGTAAAGCCCAGTCCACCTTTCCTGTGCCGTGTCCGTCACTTCTCCATGTTCTTTGTGTGCGTTTCCTCTCCATCAGGACGGCCCTGGCTGTGAGGGAGCTTTCGTTTTGTGAAAACATTCATTTCAGAGTTGCTGTCGAGTTGGAGCGGAAGCTTAGAGCCCAGCTCTGAATTGGGTGCCGAGCTTTTCTTTTTCTTTTTGTGTCTGCCTTTGAATCTCTAAGTAAGATTTGGGGGAATGGAGGTATCTTTTCTGCAAACTGCAGAACACAGGGGACCTGCTTAGGAAATGGGGCTGGTCCTCTGGACTGTTTGGGACAATGACGAGGGACTCTCAGGGCCGAGGGGCACAGCTAAGCCTTGGTCTCCCTCCGGAGCCTCCTGCCCCCCTACCTCCCCAGGCCCTCCCTCCCTCCTTCCTTCCATCCTTCTTTAAAACGATACATGTGGCTTTCAGAAAACCTGTACTTCCTCCAAAGCTCCCTAACTCTGCTCTCAGCTTACCTTACTCCTCCCGAAGCCCAATCCTTTCTTGCTTGTTTATTCCTACCTTCGACTCCATTTCTTTTCGGTCCTATCCCTGTGTCTATTATGAGACTTGAAAAATGAAGCCCCATGGGGCTCCTCTAGACCAAAAAATTGCTAGATGGATAAACCTTGCTGTCAAGAGGTGCTTAAAATGGTGAAACATGACCTCAGAAGAGAGACAAGAAAACATTCCCTTATAAAGGAGCACTGTTCTTAAAAAAAAAAAAAATCTGATTTTGTCTCCTCCTCCCTGGCCTCCCAGGAGTCAGCTACCTTTTGTGACTCGGCTAAGCCATAGGCGCTGACGATTGAGAGAGAAGGCTCTGAGGCTGTACCGAGGGGACCCGTCTGTGCCTGTCCCCCTTTCACCGTGCACACCCTTCCCAGCCGTGCTTACCTCGGCGGCCAGAAAACAGACAGCACATTCAAGCCTAGTCATTGAGGGAAGGCCATTTATTAAAAGGAGCATTTACCACTTGTGGAAAGGGCTCAGGAAAAGCAGTGAGGGGTGGAGCGGTACCCCCAGGCTAATCATTGGTGGGGAGCTGCCGTGGCCCTGGGTCTCAAAGGGCAAGGCAGCCTTGAAGGAACTTCAGAGATCAGCTGCAGAGGTGCTGCCTGACCGGAGCTGTGGCCTTTGGTCAAAGGACCTGGCCAGCCCCTGGCATCCTAGCAAGGGAAAGCTGCAGATAGAAATTCACGCCCTCTGATATGCCAGAATCCTCTCCGTGGCAAATCTAACAGAACCAGAGGGCAAGGGCTTCTGTCCACGTAGTCCGTGCAAGTCTGAACAACCTTGGAATCACTCGGACCCCTCCGTATCTCACAGCCCACCTCTGATCTGATTCGCCAGCAAATCCTAGTCGTTTTCCTGATCAAAGGACAGCCAGAATCTGAGCCTCTGTCACCACCTGCACTGCTACCCCATGGTCCAAATCTCCATCATTTCCAGGGTTGGAGAGAGACTCCCACCTGGAACCTTCCTTTACGGCATTTACGGATCCCCCGCTCATTCATACAAAAACCCTACGAGACCCTGCACAGGCTGCCCCTTTCTTCTCTGACCCCATCTCCTCATTCTTGAGGCTCACTTTGGTCTGGCCCTCTGGTGTCCTTGATGGTCAACACCAAGCGCATACCTGCCTCAGGGCCTTTGCAGATGGCAGGGAGATGAATTTTAAGCTTTAAGAAAATCTAAGTAATGGAAACATCTATCCACACAAAACTTATACAAATGTTTGCAGCTGCATTATTCATAATAGCCCCAAACTGGGAACAACCAAATGCCCATTAGCTGGTGAATGGACCAACAAAATGTGGTATAGTCACCCAAAGAAATATCACGCCGCAATAAAAAGGAATAAAGTACTGATGCATGTGATCACGTGGATAAACCTTGAAAACATTAGGCTAAGTGAACATTATGAAATAATGAAGGCGTGATGTCAGTCACAAAAGACATCATATTGTACAATTCCATTCATATGAAACTTCCAGAATAAGCGAATCTATACAGACAGGAAGTGGTGTGGTGGTTGCCTAGGGCTGGGGAGGATGGCGGGTGACAGCTAAGAGGCATGACGTTTCTTTTTGGTGGTTGATAAAAATGTTCTAAAATTGACTGGTGAGGGTTGCCTATTTTGTGACTATACTAAAATCCATTGAATTGAACAATGTCAATGGGTGAATCTTTTGGTATATGAATTACTTCTCAAAGCAATTAAAAATAAAGATCAAAGTGATTGCCGTCTTAATAAAGCATTCCTGTCATTTTTACAAGTGGTGTATGTAAGTCTTAGCATTCAGTATTATTATAGCTAAAGTTTGAAATTCAACTCTTGACTATTACTGTTTTCATTTCCCGTTTATTTTTTAACTCTTAAATTTCTCTGGCATGCACATGCTAGATATTCAATATTTAAATATCATTGAAGTTGGGCTTCCCTGGTGGCGCAGTGGTTGAGAGTCCGCCTGCCGATGCAGGGGACACGGGTTCGTGCCCCGGTCCGGGAAGATCCCACATGCCGCGGAGCGGCTGGGCCCGTGAGCCATGGCCGCTGAGCCTGTGTGTCCGGAGCCTGTGCTCTGCAGCGGGAGAGGCCACAGCAGTGAGAGGCCCGCGTACCGCAAAAAAAATAATAAAAATAAAAATAAATAAATAAATATCATTGAAGTGGATGAATTTTTCTTTTCTAAAGTGTTAATATGAGAAAGAGGGGGTACTAATTATGGGTGTGTTCCCCCCTCCAGCACTTTCATGACGGACGGAAGGCACAGCAGCACATAGAGACTTGCTGGAAGCAACTAGAATCGGTAAGTGAAAACCCAACCTCTCAAGAAATGTCTTTATAGATTTTCTCGTTTGAATTTAACTTAAGCTTGAATCAACCAGTAGTACAAAACAAACAGAGACACTATTTATTGTCTTGAGAGATTTTTATAATTTGAATTTAACTGGTTTCTAGAAATCATTACTGAAAGTAAAATGTTAAGCCCAAAGGAGTTCAAGCAGAGTCTTTTTCTAAAAATCATACGGAAAGAACAAAGATTAGACAGTTTGGATGGAAATAAATGTGGATTTTAAAATAACTTCCTGAAATGATGACACGGAACAAATCAGTTTGGAGAAGAAAGCTTTCGGTGGAGGGGGTGGGGGCGGGCGGATGTCGATAAAATTACATCTTCTCATAAGACTCTCATGGTTTCATTAAAAATTACTTTCCCCGCAACCATCTTCCTCTGCTTTTAGAGTAAAAGACGTTTTGAGCGGGATTGCAAAGAGGCTGACCGAGCCCAGCAGTACTTTGAGAAAATGGATGCTGACATAAATGTTACAAAAGCAGATGTTGAAAAGGTAAGGTGAAAGCGAGGGTCTTTCTTTCATTTCCCTTTTTAACGTTCATCACGTATCCTCCCAGACTGCTGGTCCCCAAGTTCTCCTTTCTGCTGCAACCACAAAAGGCCACTTTACTTGGGATCATTTTCGTTTTGTGTCAACGGAGGGATGTTGGCGGTGGGGTGGCAGGGGGAGAATCTAAAATTTGGGGAGTCTCCGGTGGTAATGATTTGAGCAGTTTGTTGATTTATTTAGTCATCAGGATGATAACACGGAGACTTAGACCATGAACATACCTTAGGGGGTGGTTTCCGCAGACCGTGGTTCTCTCTTAATGGCTTTTCAAAGAAAAAGTCAACCTCTTAAAAGCTGGAGCAGACTGTCCAGTGCCATCTGGAAGAGCTCGGCCACCTACAGTGCTTATGTTAAAAAGGTAAAGAGATTCACACGAGTGGCCTGTGTTCTAACGGATTCATTCAGGTTGATAACAGGTTGTACTTGAAGGCTTGCATTGGAAAGTCCTCCCAAAAGCTTTTCCCGAAATGGACTTGTATTGGCAATTAGGAATATTATTATAAAGCTTGTACTGTGTCTTCCTGTGGTTCCCTCTGTGTTTTTTCCCTGGAAGTTAAAGTTTCTTTTTATAAAAGTCATCAATGTTAGTGTAAACAAAACTGGGCTATTAAATAACAGTATTCATTCGTGACTGCCCAGGGCTACTTTGGCATTCACAGACTCATGCTTTAAGTGGGGTAAAACCCTGCTTTTTCACAGATTTCTTTCACTTTTGCCAGATTATTTGGAGTTGAATTTGCTCAGAAAATAGTGTGAATTAGTTATTCATTGCCCAATTCTGCCAGATTCCTTGCTTAAAGCCTAGGTATATATTAGCATGCCTTCCTCTAAAATTATCTAATATATTAGAAAACACATTCTTAATGTCTATATTTGATCTTGAGTGGAGACATTTACTTTACCAAAAGATATATTAATTTGCTGGTAAAGTTACCCATAAATTACCATAAATTTGTTATAAGTTCTCATAAAATATTAATTCCCTGAAGTATTTAATATGTTATTCCATTAAAATAGATTGACCCAAAGTTTATCAAAAAAACATTTGTGGTTAAAGGAGGTAAAATCAGTATATGTGTCCCAGAAACATGCCTGGCACAAAGGTATGCATTCTGTAGCAAATATTTTATTACCCTAAATGTAAAATTGGAGTGATTTTTATTTATTGAAAGACTTTTTTAAAGCCATTACTATTATGACCTTGTCTTAGAAAAAAAGCTATCTATCCTTGCTCATTGTAGAAATACCTGAAAATACAACCAAATGAAGTGGGAGAAAAAAATTAAAACACCCAACTATGGTTAATAAAATACCTTTCAGAGCCTCCACCATTCATTCCTGGTTTCTAAACAAAGGTACTTCACTTTTTTTTTTTTTTTTGGCCGCGCCGCGTGGCTTGCGAGATCTTAGTTCCCTGACCAGGGATCGAACCCGTGTCCCCTGAAGTGGAAGCACAGAGTCCTAACCACTAGACCACCAGGGAATTCCCTCAGAGCCTTTTCTTTAAAAAAGATTATGTATACTACACATGTACAGTGTAAAGAATAGTAACAAAGGGAACAGCTGCTAATCCACAGCCTATCTTAAGAAATAAAAATCTTATTGTTGCCTTTCAAGTCTCCCTTCCCAACTTCATCCTTCTCTTCGCTCTAGAGGTAAACTTTATCCTTAATTTGGTGTTAATCATCTCCTCGCTTCTTCATAGCTTTATCGTAGGTGTCTGTATCTCCAAAGAGTTTATTTCATAATTTTGTGCGCTTTTCACCTTTATAGAAAGAAAATCATACTTTCATTTCTTTTCTTGTGACTTGACTGTTTTTCATTTGATATTATGTTTTTCACTTAATTCATGTGGACTATAGAACACATAACTTTTATATATTAATTTTAGAGCCAGATGCTTGCTAAACTCTCTTTTGATTTCTCTTTTGGGGTTTTCCGTAGAGACAGTCATAACAGCAGCAAATAATGACAGTCTTATATCTTCTGTTTCAATCTTTATGTCTTTTATTTATTTCTCTTATCTTGCTCTGCTGGTTACGACCTCTTTTATGCTGGCAGTAGCAGTTATTGTGGACTTCCTTATCTCGTTCTAGATTATAAAGAGCGTGCTTCAAATGTTTCCCCATTAAGCATGATTATAATATACCCTTTATCGGGCTAAGGGATTTCCCTTCTTTTTCTATTTTGCCAATAAGTTTTTTTTTGTTTTTTGGGGGTTTTTTTTTTGCGGTACGCGGGCCTCTCACTGTTGTGGCCTCTCCCGTTGCGGAGCACAGCCTCCGGACGCTCAGGCTCAGCGGCCATGGCTCACGGGCCCAGCCGCTCCGCGGCATGTGGGATCTTCCCAGACCAGGGCACGAACCTGCGTCCCCTGCATCAGCAGACGGACTCTCAACCACTGCTCTACCAGGGAAGCCCCAACAAGTTTTTTTTTAAAGCTTGACTTAATATTGAACATCATCAAATACCTTTTCTGCTTCCTTTAATCCATTAACGGGTAGATTACATTATTAAATTTTCTTGTATTGAACCAAATTAGCGTTCCTCGGACGAATATAACTAGGTGATGATGTATTTTTTTTTTATACAGAGCTGAATTTATTTTGTTAACATTTTAAGATTTTGCATCTATAGTCATTGAAATTGATCTGTAATTTTTCTTTCTTGGCTGTTCTAGTTTGCTTTACTTCTTTTTTTTTTTTTTGCGGTACGCGGGCCTCTCACTGTTGTGGCCTCTCCCGTTGCGGAGGTCAGGCTCCGGACATGCAGGCTCAGCGGCCACAGCTTACGGCCGCCGGCCCCAGCCACTCCACGGCATGTGGGATCTTCCCGGACCGGGGAACAAACCCGCGTCCCCTGCATCGGCAGGCGGACTCTCAACCACTGCGCCACCAGGGAAGCCCTGCTTTACATCTTTTTAGTTGTGGAGTGTTGCTCTTTATTCTCTGGATAATATATGTGAGATGAAATTAACTGTTCCTTAAATATTTTGTAATCCTTTATTGTGGGAGAGTTTCTAACTGCTGATCCAATTCCTTTATTGTCTTTTTCTTTGGTTGATCTTGGCATGTTATATTTTTCTAGAAATATACCCATCTCATCCCAGGTTTTCAAATTTAGTGGCCAAAAGTTGCCCATAATATTCTCACCTTAATTTTTTGCTGCATATATTGTGTGTCCCCCTTATTTATTCCTAATATTATTTATTTATACTTTTTGGGGAGGGCCTTTTTTTTAAAATCAATTCTTATTTATTTATTGATCTACTTGGCTGCATTTGGTCTTAAATGTGGCACCTGAGATCATCATTGTGGCATGCAGGATCTTTCAATGCGGCGTGGGCGTCTCTCTAGTTGTGGCACGTGGGCTCCAAAGGGCACAGGCTCAGTAGTTGTGGCGTGCAGGATTAGTTGCCCCACGGCGTGTGGGATCTTAATTCCCCGACCAGGAATCGAACCCACGTCCCCTGAATTGGAAGGCGATTCTTAACCACTGAACCACCAGCAAAGTACTGGGAAGGGTCTGTTTTGCTTTGATTTGTTTTAATAATGTATATATATTTTAATTTTATTTACTTATTTATTTTCGGCTGTGTTGGGTATTTGCTGCTGCGCGCGGTCCTTCTCTAGCTGCGGTGAGTGAGGGATACTCCTCTGCGATGCGCGGGCTTCTCACTGCGGTGGCTTCTCTTTGTTGCAGAGCACGGACTCTAGGCGCACGGGCTTCAGTAGTTGCGGCACATGGGCTCAGCAGCTGTGGCTCACGGGCTCCAGAGCACAGGCTCAGTAGCTGTGGCACACGGGCCTAGTCGCTCCACGGCATGTGGGATCTTCCCCGACCAGGGCTCGAACCCGTGTCCCCTGCACCAGCAAGCAGACTCCCAAACACTGTGCCACCAGGGAAGTCCGAGGGTCTGTTTGTTTTCTTTTAAAGGACATTAATGGTCTTCATCTTTTATTTATTTGTTTGTTTGTTTTTGGCCACGCCGTGCAACATGTGGGATCTTAGTTCCCCGACCAGGTATCGAACCGTGCTCCCTTCAGTGGAAGCGCAGAGTCTTAACCATTGGACCGCCAGGGAAGTCTCGAGGGTTTGTTTTTTAAAATCATTTTTTATTAGTATTTTACAAAAACCAAAAGTTATCTTTATGGAATTTCTTTTTACTTTCTATTTTATTTATTTTCTTTTTCTTCTTCTTCCTCCTCTTCCTCTTCTGTCAGTATCTTTGGATTTATTTTATTGCCCTTTTAAAAATTTCTTTCTTCAGATGCTTTCCTCATTTCAACTTTTCTTCTTTTCAAATATAAGCATTTAATGAACAAAGTTCTCATTTAACTACTGTTTTATTTGCAACCCATGGATTTTGGTATGCAGTAGTAGTATTATTGTTCATTTCCTGATATATTTCTTTTACTATTTAGTCTCTCCAGTAATTTATTTGGAAGCATATTTTTAAATTTCCAATTGTATGACTTTTTAAACTTATCTTTTTGTTAATGATTTCTAATTTAATTGCATTGTGGTTATAGAAAGTCTGAGTTTGAGACTTTTACATTTGTTGAGACTTGTCTTATAGCCTAGTACAGGGTCAGTTTTTATAAATGTTCTCTAAGTAATTGAAAAGAATGTGTATTTTCCATTTCTTGGTTGCAGAGCTCTACATTTTTTCATTAGAGCAAACTTGCTGATTACCCACACCTTCCCATCATTAAGGATTTTTTTGTCTGCTTGTTGTAATGTATTTTGATAGAGATATGTCACTTCTTTGTGCCTCACTTTCCTTGTCTGTAAAATGGGAACACAGAAGGAAACGATTGATGCGAGTGTTGGTTGAGATAATCTGTACAAGATACTCGAAGCCATTTATGGCAGTGGCCAGTGATCATTACATTAACTATTGCGATGATAACGATGGAAGATTTGTCATTTTCTGTCCATTT